GCTGTATGTAGCTCAGAGCTGCACGCGTCACTACGGCTCATTGACTTCTTGTGTCTTCCAAACATATTAACCAGGGACCTGCACCTACAGTAGTACTCTGCTAACATTGTGACTCACTACAGTGTGTTCAGTGTTTAGTATGCTGTATGTAGCTCAGAGCTGCACGCGTCTATACGGCTCATTGACTTCTTGTGTCTTCCAAACATATTAACCAGGGACCTGCACCTACAGTCGTACTCTGCTAACATTGTGACTCACTACAGTGTGTTCAGTGTTTAGTATGCTGTATGTAGCTCAGAGCTGCACGCGTCACTACGGCTCATTGACTTCTTGTGTCTTCCAAACATATTAACCAGGGACCTGCACCTACGGTCGTACTCTGCTAACATAGTGACTCACTACAGTGTGTTCAGTGTTTAGTATGCTGTATGTAGCTCTGAACTGCACGCGTCTATACGGCTCATTGACTTCTTGTGTCTTCCAAACATATTAACCAGGGACCTGCACCTACGGTCGTACTCTGCTAACATAGTGACTCACTACAGTGTGTTCAGTGTTTAGTATGCTGTATGTAGCTCTGAACTGCACGCGTCTATACGGCTCATTGACTTCTTGTGTCTTCCAAACATATTAACAGGGGACCTGCACCTACAGTCGTACTCTGCTAGTATTGTGACTCACTACTGTGTGTTCAGTGTTTAGTATGCTGTATGTAGCTCTGAACTGCACGCGTCACTACGGCTCATTGACTTCTTGTGTCTTCCAAACATATTAACCAGGGACCTGCACCTACGGTCGTACTCTGCTAACATAGTGACTCACTACAGTGTGTTCAGTGTTTAGTATGCTGTATGTAGCTCAGAGCTGCACGCGTCACTACGGCTCATTGACTTCTTGTGTCTTCCAAACATATTAACCAGGGACCTGCACCTACGGTCGTACTCTGCTAACATAGTGACTCACTACAGTGTGTTCAGTGTTTAGTATGCTGTATGTAGCTCTGAACTGCACGCGTCTATACGGCTCATTGACTTCTTGTGTCTTCCAAACATATTAACAGGGGACCTGCACCTACAGTCGTACTCTGCTAACATTGTGACTCACTACAGTGTGTTCAGTGTTTAGTATGCTGTATGTAGCTCAGAGCTGCACGCGTCTATACGGCTCATTGACTTCTTGTGTCTTCCAAACATATTAACCAGGGACCTGCACCTACGGTCGTACTCTGCTAACATAGTGACTCACTACAGTGTGTTCAGTGTTTAGTATGCTGTATGTAGCTCTGAACTGCACGCGTCTATACGGCTCATTGACTTCTTGTGTCTTCCAAACATATTAACAGGGGACCTGCACCTACAGTCGTACTCTGCTAACATTGTGACTCACTACAGTGTGTTCAGTGTTTAGTATGCTGTATGTAGCTTAGAGCTGCACGCGTCTATACGGCTCATTGACTTCTTGTGTCTTCCAAACATATTAACCAGGGACCTGCACCTACAGTCGTACTCTGCTAGTATTGTGACTCACTACTGTGTGTTCAGTGTTTAGTATGCTGTATGTAGCTCTGAACTGCACGCGTCACTACGGCTCATTGACTTCTTGTGTCTTCCAAACATATTAACCAGGGACCTGCACCTACGGTCGTACTCTGCTAACATAGTGACTCACTACAGTGTGTTCAGTGTTTAGTATGCTGTATGTAGCTCAGAGCTGCACGCGTCACTACGGCTCATTGACTTCTTGTGTCTTCCAAACATATTAACCAGGGACCTGCACCTACGGTCGTACTCTGCTAACATAGTGACTCACTACAGTGTGTTCAGTGTTTAGTATGCTGTATGTAGCTCTGAACTGCACGCGTCTATACGGCTCATTGACTTCTTGTGTCTTCCAAACATATTAACAGGGGACCTGCACCTACAGTCGTACTCTGCTAACATTGTGACTCACTACAGTGTGTTCAGTGTTTAGTATGCTGTATGTAGCTCAGAGCTGCACGCGTCTATACGGCTCATTGACTTCTTGTGTCTTCCAAACATATTAACCAGGGACCTGCACCTACGGTCGTACTCTGCTAACATAGTGACTCACTACAGTGTGTTCAGTGTTTAGTATGCTGTATGTAGCTCTGAACTGCACGCGTCTATACGGCTCATTGACTTCTTGTGTCTTCCAAACATATTAACAGGGGACCTGCACCTACAGTCGTACTCTGCTAACATTGTGACTCACTACAGTGTGTTCAGTGTTTAGTATGCTGTATGTAGCTTAGAGCTGCACGCGTCTATACGGCTCATTGACTTCTTGTGTCTTCCAAACATATTAACCAGGGACCTGCACCTACAGTCGTACTCTGCTAGTATTGTGACTCACTACTGTGTGTTCAGTGTTTAGTATGCTGTATGTAGCTCTGAACTGCACGCGTCACTACGGCTCATTGACTTCTTGTGTCTTCCAAACATATTAACCAGGGACCTGCACCTACAGTCGTACTCTGCTAACATTGTGACTCACTACAATGTGTTCAGTGTTTAGTATGCTGTATGTTCTTAACTATCAATGATTACCATACGTATAATTGACCGTCAGAATAAGATTGAAACAGTTATGTAAGCTTCGTCACTTATCTCACATGGTAGCTTAGTAATGATGTAAGAAATGTAATTAGTTGATAACACGCACATTGTTGTTAGAGTTGATAATAGGATTGTTTATTTTATCAGTACAATACTAAGGTCACCGTTTCTATGATAACATTTTTGAGATAACTCTTTTATTATGGTGCTGTGATAGAATGCTACATAAATGAAAACACTATAATATCGTGTCCTAAATTCTTTTTACTACCCCGTAAAGAAGGAAAGTTTTTATGTAGCATTGTTTGGAAATTGATTTCATTGTTGCACTTCATTTGATTAAATCAAACTTGCTGAATGGTAAATCCCGTAAAATGTTTTAATTGGACTCCGTTTTGCCCGGCGAGTGGTGTCGTTCGTTTTTTTTATCCCACACAACGCGTGGGGTGAATGGTTGACATGTATCAATGTGTTTATACCAGTATACTACTTTTAAATTATACACATTTTAATCATAACTTTAAAAACACATTATCTAAATTGGAATTATTAGGATTAATTTCATTATAAAAAATACACAAAACCCAGTATTTTAGATGGAAATTCTCATTTTAATTACAATGTATACCAAATGTATACTAAATGTGTATACCAAATGTGAAGAGACCAAACATTGTTTCATGTCATGACAGCTTTACACATATCTTTGAAAATCTCAATAAATAAAATCGTACTTGCCACTTCACGATTTCACTGTCGTTAGTTTTTAACGGAAACTTCGAAAATTTAACGTGAAGCAATACAACCTGACCCAGTGACCCATGATGCAGTAAGTCATATATTATTATTTCTTATTGTGTAGATACAAATATTGTAGTGCATTGTAGGCCATAATTTATGAGTTTCTGATCAAAAGTAAAGAATTATTCAGTATCCATCAATGACGTTTTTGGGCAAAAACAACCTGAAAAAGTACTGGAAATACAAAATTACCCTTACCCTAAACTATTTTTACGAATTAATAGACTTTACTTTCAAGCGAAGTGCATGTCTTACGGTATTAATGTTTTGACCAAAAAGTAAATTTTAGCCTGTAAAATGTACATTGTAAGTAAGATAAAAACATCAAGCGGAATTAGAGAATTTAAAGGGTGGGGCATTATTCACATATTAATTTAACCAAACATTATGAGGCTATATTTGAAATACGTGTAAAATACGCGTAAAAAATCTCCGTATTTGAAAACATTATAAACAGTCTACTTAAATTTGTAATCGATGATGTAATCTGTTGTACTATAAGCCTAGAAGTAAATGCCATGTGTTACTATAAGGACATGACTGTCATCCTGTGCCTCTGATGTCCTTTATTCGCCCAGGAGATTCCGGCCAAGGTCATCGAAGGTCCTTGAAGGTCCTGGTTGATTAGGTAACCTGTAGCTCGCTCGCCTTTAACCTTCTCACTGAAGCCTATTTATAAGTCTACAACGCTTGGTGAAATCCTAATAAGTTTATAATGTCATAAAGTAGTATGTCTTAAATTATGATAGTCAAGGACAGCTGGGTCTAGCATCGAAAAATAATAGTATATTTTTCGTCATATTGTAGCATTATTTTAACACACTATGTGACACAATTAAATATTTTTCACTTAAATACAACCTCTCAAAACTACAACCTCTTAAAAACGCTTTTTACTCCCTAGAGAGTACAAATTATACTACATTAAAATGGCTGTTTTTTGCTGCATGACGAAAAATCTTAATAATCTTTTCAGGGTAACCATTTCTAACGAAAAGACACGTTGGTGTAGAAAATACTCATTTAAACCTACATAGTTATAACAAATCTTTGGTTCCGAGTACAGATGATTATACCCCTTGTCTATCCATAGATTTAATTATGTGTTTAAAAATAGTTTTTAAGCTTCAAGTTCTTATTTCCGTTTTAAAGGTTGATAATGTTTAGCAGTATAGATGAAAGTTCTATTTATCACTTTCATTTACAGCTTAAATATCTAAACATAGTTTTGAAATTATGTACTGCAAATTTGCAATAAATATTTTTTTTTTTAATTATGTATTGCAAATTTGTAAATAGGTTTTATTAATTCTTTCTTGTGTAAGCTTCATCATATTTTTTTAAATTGTTGTGTAAATGAGGTTTAATGATTATCCTTTTTACCACCAACGCTTTAGTGAAAATAATTGAAGAAAACACAACTCTTTAAGTTTTGTATTTGTGTTTTTTTACGCCAATGTCACTGGTGTGTTTTTCTTATCCCCGCCTTCCAAACCCCAGAAAGGTTAATTTTTAATATCCTTCATAACAGTCTATGCTAATTTTATATCCAACACATGGCATTTATTAATATTTTATTATTATATGATCTAGATTAATTAACTAATTTATTTTTTGTTACAGACATGGGCTAACCACAAGCGATTTGGGATTATTTGGTGCTCCTTAAAAGGTAAATATTGTTTATTTTGTGTTTTACATCGTTCCAAGGAACTCGTTACAAAAGGAACTAAGTAAAGTGGAAGGTTTACATTTCGTTAAAGAGTGATAAAAAGTTAAGAGTTTATCAAGCTTAATTACTTTGCCTTGATGATATTAAGAGCCGTTCTTTGCTCGGCATAATAAACTGGAATGGAATTGCCGGTAGAATTGGTCAGACAATTATCTGAAACAATTAAACATTCATCGTTTATTAGGCTTATTATTTATTATACCTATTGATATACTTGTGTTTTGAATTCAGAAGAGTTATATGATTGTCAAATGATTAACTAATAAACTTGTTACAGATGTAAATTATTTTTAATTCATTGTCAGTTAAATTTTTAATTTTAAAATTACATACTATCGACACTATAAAATGTCAGTTAAAGAGACCGAATTTAGATGTTCCAGTCGAAACATACTGTCATTAAGCATCTCCAGTATATTTACAGATGAACCTCGATAACAAGAGTGTCCATAAAAAGTCACACTTGATAACAAGTGACATTTTCAAATCCCTCTGAATTTATTTTACCCTAATCACAAGCTATTGCTTACCTCTACAAGACATCAATTTTGAAAACAATTCTTAATTACCATATATATTTAAAAATCCACAACACGTATCCATCCCACTCCAGTGTACATAAGCCCTAGCTAAACAATTACCTACAAAAATCCGTTTGACCACAGAATTAAGAGTGGTTTCCCAAACTATTGCACTTTTACCCCTTTGGCTTATACTGTGGTAAGACATTTTTGAGGCGGTGTATCTGGTGTCAGTAGTCAGTAAACGTGATCTATTATAACATTGGTGTTCACCGGTCCTATCAGACTGCCCTGAGGGACCCCAGTAGCTTCTCCGCGTAGACCTTGCCAGCCTTGAAGGTCGTTGACCCTATAACGGGCCCATTCATGTTGTGGATCCTCACAGCCCGTGCCCAACCTGCGACTCACATTTTTGTTTAGCTGGTTACAATTTGTACCGTTTTATTTTGGGAAGCGCTGGTGATTGCGTTTTGGGACGGGGATGGTCGAGGTAATTGTGGGATTTATGTCCAGAGGTTTCTGGTTCAAATCTCGTCACCTCCAATGGCTTATAGGTTTTTAGGTATGTGATTACATCGTATACCAGTGGTTATAGTAAATAGTATAAGCTACCATGACCTATCTACAAATAAATTGTCTTTTTTGCAAAGATTGTTTTTTATTTAGGACACTCTTCTACTCAAAATTAATTATGATTTTTCTATTGCGGCTGCTTTGTCAGCAATCTGCTATATACAATTTAGATACTCGTGTAGTCGTCTTGAGTTCATGAGTAGCGAACTGATTTTTCTAATAGTGCAATTGTTGTTTAATTTAATTTAATTTAATTTTGATTAAGTTGAAATGAATCAAAACATTTCATGAAGTGTAAAGTGTCAGTTCTACCAACCGTATGTAAATGAAAATACTCATGGTTAGGTGTCATGTGTAAACACAAACAAAATATATCCCCCTTAAACATTGACATCACAATCCAAAATTCGCCCTCACATTTCTTTTTAATAACCAATAGATTGCTACAGAGATTTTAATTTTTGAATTTTTATATAAAATCTGGCACAAAACAATGCTGAAAAGTTTCGACGGAATTCATCAACGGAGTAATTTAATTTTTCGCAACAAAAGAAGTGTTATTACTTTTACACTGGTGGTGGCGACGTGATAAAATAAACTGTTTGAGTTTCGGACGACTGGACGCGGAGGTTATTGCGATGAGTATTTTGATGGGGAGGGGGAGGGGGTGGAATATTGGAACTTTTAAGAGCGGCTGCCCATATGGTTATACAATCAGCTGATCGACTACTCTCACTATTTTTGATAGTACCTGGGGACAGAGCCATGGCTCGGTGTAGTTTATTTCGATTGTACAAGTAATATAAAGGAAATTCACGTTTTATTTCCAACTATGTTTGGCTTTTATTATACAGGTTTCAGTGGAATTTCAATTTATTATGATGGAAATTTTAACCTGGCAATCCACACTACATTAATTTATTTTACAGTCAATGAAAGGTTTCTCGTTCATACTTGCATAAACATTGTTTTGGCATTTTGTTTAAATAAAAACAGCTGATTACTTTGGTGATTAAGTTTTGATAGGAGAGAGCCAAGTTAAATAATGAGTATTTGATCGGAACTTGAAACTATTTTCACCTATATCGAGTTATTTTAGTGTAATCTTTGCTCAATAGTAACAACTGATTTTTTTACCTTTTGTACTGTATTTTTTAATTTGCTAGTATACTGTAGGTGGATGGCTTATTATGAACACATGTTACAGCTTACAAGTATTTTGTTTATTTTTTCCTTGTTATGTTGTTCAACCAATATGGTTACTTGGCAACCCATAAGGTCAATGTTAAAAAGTTTTGACTTTCAATTTAATTTGTTTACGTAATTCGACTTTTTTGGCAGTTTTAATTGCCTTAAACACGTTTTTAGGCCAGAAATTAATTATTTACAACATTTGAAGGAAATCGTCGAAGCCGTTTTCGAGATCTTTTGTACAAGCAAACATTGCTCATATGTATAGGATTACAAGGGGCAATACCTTGTTTATTGAGTTTTTACAATTATTTTGATTGCTACTCATCACATTATCCATAGTATGTTTTGATTTTTATTTTGGTCATATATTTTTTTTCTGTGCACGTTCATTACAATGTACAAATTAACTTATCTTTGATGAATTATATATTTAAAATTACGGTTTCATATCGGCACGATACATACTGCGTTTTATAATTGACTTAAAATAGTGTAAGTAGACTTCTCATCATTATGTAAATGCATAGTTTTAACATACTACTCATAATCATAGTTTTTGTGGATTAGCCTAAGTCAATGCGGTGCTTGTTTCTGTATAGCCTATTGTTTTTTTCTAATTTTAGTGATGTTATTTAACCACTTTTTAAACAGTTTTAACTAAACATATCTAATTATTAAAAGGTTCATTGTTTTATGGAATTTTACCAAAAGAATGGTAATTATTTTACCAGAAATGATACAAATAAAAGAAAGACACTTTGAGTGGCTCATTAAACTATGGTTTTATACAAATTTATTTGGCCAATCCTATATGTTTAATCTCTATACTTTGAGTGCCCAAAAGGCAATTCTCTCAGATTTTCCGATCACGACCATTTTAAATTCACTTGCTTAATTCTGACAATGCTCAAACAATATGCTCGATGGATCAGCGTCTGTATGTTGCCATCTTCAGCTCGACTCGTCGCATCGCATCGCTCGCAAGACTTGTGAAGTGAAAGTAACGTACATACAGAACATCGTCTGTTATCACCGTGCGATGGTGGTGTAATGGTCAGCATAGTTGCCTTCCAAGCAGTTGATCCGGGTTCGATTCCCGGCCATCGCAATAAAATTTTTCTCATTTATATTACCACCTTTTAAATTTTTTAAATTAGCTAATAATATATGTGTTTGAATGTTTGTGTTTTGTTCTTAGTTGGTAATTAAACCATTTTATTCAACTACTAGTTTTAAAATAGTTTTATAAATTATCAGCAATAAATTTTCAGAAATTTTCATTTTCATTCACATTTTCAATCAATGAATAAATAAAAATAATAATATCTTCACCCGACGAAAATGTGAAAGAATCATAACAATCTTTTGTTTTAGAGTGTTGCAAATAAACAGGCCTACGGTCGGAAAAAAAGAAATACGCTGGAGTAGCGTATTCTACTACTGTATGACAATAAGTGCACACGATGGGGGTTCTTTAGATATTCATTGACACGTAAAAATGATTGGCAACCACTTTTTATTCCACCCGCTATCGGATATGTGTTTTTAAACTTTTATTGGATGGTTATACAATAGACTTGACGTGAATCAGTTTACTTTTCAAGTAAATTTATCAATTAAATTACTAGTTGAGATTGCAAGTAAACTAAAATTTGTTTAGTAGTGTTTCTGTCATATGGTTGCATTTATTGTTATTATTTGAAAGTAAGTAAAATACAAATTTTACTTAAGGGTGTTCGATCGAAAATAAAATACTATTATTTTTTAAAGTATAATTGTTAAGGTCATTATAAGGGTAAGAAAGAATGTCACCTGAAATTTTTAAGTGGCCTAATAAGAGAGTTATGGGGCTTTTTAGTGCTAAATCCGTTTGCTTTCCAGCTTAAAAACGGTTTCGATTATATTCACCAAACTACTCTTAAAAATTCCAAAAAAATTAACATTGTATTTCCCATATCGTTTATAAATAAAAAAGTGACTTAAATAACCATTAAATTTAATTTTTTTTTCTTCGTCTTGCTTATTCAGTGGTTTGTTTCAATAGGTGATCCGTCACGTTTTATGTTGTTGTGTTGTGTTGTTGAAATTTCTCTAACTTTCTCCGCTGTTTGGTGAAATCAGCTTCCAAATAAAACGGAGGCGATGATCTCGGCCTACTGTAGGACGTTTGAACATTTTTAAATGGCAAATGCATTCTAATTTTTAAAAATATACATGGAAAATAAAGTGTTAATAGTTAATTAAGTTAAATGTAACGAGTATGAACGAAAAATTTAAATTACAATAAATATATAAATGAATAATAACAATAACAACTCAATTTCATACAAAATAATCAAAACATTTCTCTGTTAATATCTAAAGGTTTGACCAACAGTAATGTTTTTAATTACGCTACAGCCGTAAAACGAGTTGAGAGAAAGTATAATCTCGTAAATGGTTAACTGTGGGAGATTTAATTTCCCCGCGTGTATCACTTTATGTTTATTTTATATCACTATGATGTGAAACTTGAATCCTTCCTCCTTTGTTGAATATTAATTAGAGTGGGTGATTATATTTTGATATCATTTATCAAGTGTGCCTCTCATTTGGAAAGTTTACATTATTACTTTTGGAAATAGGTCAGTTTTCTTTGCTTATAAACCTTTC